AATACCATATATATATACACATCTTATTCAGAACACGCAACGGAGAACATATGTCGGAAGCATTTTGCAAGTGGTCCGGCCATTATAGTGAGGGGGTGGTGCGGGGAGGGGGTGGTATGAGCTCTTGACAAAATGAAGAGTGGAAACCCGCTATCTCTATCCACAGCTACAGGATTTTGAATTTAGTTGAGGTCTGAGAGCATAATTATCATATCAACTCTAGCCCCACCATGGTTGGTAAACAACTTGTTTGGTGCCTATGAATGTCCGGAAGCAGATGCTGGCAACATAGAGCCGCTATCCCTTCCCCTCAAGGGGCAGGCACAATATATAAAGTTAGTACATTATGGATGACAGTCTATGTTGGAAATATGGAACCCCTGGATGCCATGAAATAGCAGCTGGTAAAGCTGTAGAAAATAATATTGTTAAAAATTTAATTTCTTATCATTGCCATAAGTAGATAAATTGAGTTGCTTATTCCACCAGAAGAGCAAGAAACATGAATACATATATAATACATAAACCAAAAATGACTATAACATATTGTAATTGTATTTACACGATGTGGAGGGTATTCAGCTATGAAATATACACAATATGCAATAAATAAATAAAACACAGGATACTATTAGCCACACAAATGAACCTACAGCCTACATGTTATTAATATACTGCTCGTACAATTTTAATTAAATTTTCTTGCAAAGTTCAGCCTGGAACATTAATAAGTTATTTATCACTAGAATTGTAAAAAAAGAAAATAATAAGTTAAGTGCTGTGTTTGCTTCTGGTAGGCCTTATACCGATTACACATTAATTTTAGTCAACCTTGGGTATATTCATGCAGACAGACCATGCACGTATACTTCCATGGAGAGATCTACCCTGGTAATAAATAAATAATAGAGTACTAACATTAGGGTGATCCAGTCAGTGAGTGGAGAAGGAGCACAATGCCGCTGAATCATTTTTGGAAATTAACTTGCCCATTTTTAAGTAACATAAAAATTATCAACTTGAACATAAACATTAGTGTGTTTAAAAAAAGTTTACCGTCATTTACAAAGAAAATTATAGAAACACTTCCAGTCAATGGAAGTGTTTTATTATTTTTATTATAATTATACAGTTTCAAAATCAGGGTACACATTTTTAAAATTCAATAATTTCTTTGCTCAAGTTAAAAAATATGTATGCTACTGCAAAAATGAACAAGTTAATTTCAAAATTATTTTTATGTTTTTTTTTGTCATTTTCAAGAGACAATACATCTTTAAACCTTGATGTCCAGAAAAAAATGTGAATTAATGATGATCATAATTATGATGAGGGGATGATGATAACAATGACGGTTATGATAAAGGTGATAATGACTACGATGACAATAATGATGACGATGATAATGTCGATGGCGATGACGTTGACGATGATGATGTAGGTGTTGGCATGTCACTTGCGAGTGATGGAGAAACTAATGCAGATTAAAATGAAGTGAAATCAAACCGAAAAAATTCCCCGGTCAGGGTGCAGGGATGAAAGCCCACTCGGCAGTTTTGATTTGGTAGAGTCTAATTTAGGTCGCTATGCTATTTTAGTCTTATAATAGGCCTAGTAGGCCTAATACTTTCAGAAAGCAAGCGATCCTCATATTGATCTCCAGGGACTAGAAAGCCCTGAACAAAAAGTTGTTTGTTCTTGTAGTAATGTATATATCAATAAAAATGTTTGGATTTAATCTATTTATCGTTGCTTTTCATCTTGTTGAGCACCACACCCCTTTACAAACTTGGACATCCCCACCATCTTTCGTCCGGCGCACGACGGGATCTTTAAATCCAATCAAGTTGCGATTGCCATTCCCTAATATTGTGGTCTAAAAGTATAAATTGTGGATGCCCAAAAATCTCAACTGGCAATCCCCCCGCCCCCTCAAGGGGTAAAGTTGGTGTATAAATCCATACCTGTAAATTTTGAAAATGTGCTGCAAAGCAACTATCCCTATTCCAACCCCATGCAGGGACAGATACAAGATTGAAAGTTAGTGGAAGTGGGCAAGACACTGTACCCTCTATCTCAGGTCCATCGTACCATGATTGAAAAAGCGATGCGTACATTCATATAATTCATAATTATCATTATATATTTATTTCAGAAAGTAATGGAATTGAGAAAAAGTGGTCCGGCCTTAGCCGGTGCGCTTCCGACGGCCCTGATATATA